GGTTTGTGGATTTAAAAAAGCTGAACGAATTTCAAACTTATTTTCTCTAAAAACAAACTAAGAAAATAAGTCAAAAACAGAGAGAAAACAGGGCACAGCAGCATTTTATAAAAATAATCTGCGCAAGTAATCTAAAATAGTTCAATTACTTGTATGGCGTACATGCCAAAATCTTCAGACCGTTTGGAATTTTTAAGCACTTGAAGACTTCCCTCAATTTTGCCCAGTTCAGCATACAGTTTTACCTGAAAAGGGTTGCAATACATTTTTCATTGTAATTTCAGCCTTCAGCTACAATAAAAAGCACAGAACTGTCATTTTCCATCAGCAATAAGAAGCATGCTCTACCTGTGATCTCACAAACTTGTGAAGATCAGAGACCAATCTTTTGGCTTCTGGTGCCACAGCCAAGATGGTGAAATGAGCATCTAGCAGTAAGCAAACCCAGTCTATGATCTAAAAAAAAATAAAAATAAAAAATAAACCTTCGACAGATGCAAAACGAACAATAGTTAATATTTAATATTCACAGTTTGGTGACAGACCTGAGAAATACTTGGGGTCCTTAAAGCTCGGATTTGTTTGTGGGCATCATGACAATACTTAAAATAAAGGAACCTTAGATACTGTAAAAAGACCTGAAGAGAGAAAAAAAAGTGAACTGAGACAGAACAGGTCATCAAAGATTATATTCTTCCCATTGGGCCAGTAACAAACAAAGTTAGTAAGGCAACTACCTCTGTACCACAATTTGGGGAACAAATAATAGGACACTGTATATCCAACAAGGCTAGATGTGTTGGTTTGTCAAATAGATACTCACTATGACCTGTGGAACCGTGAGATCTTTTAGATGTGGCAGCAGGGGTCTTTCACTGTACGCTGTCTGCAGAACCTCATTTCTATCAGTCAGGTTAAAGAAAAAATGCTACCAAAACTAAAAAAAAAAAAGGAATAAGGTTTTTTTTTCTTAATTTTTTATAAACCAGCAAGGGCAAAGGATACAGAAGGGCACCCTTGTGTAACCCCACAGGACAGCTCATATCCAGTGCTAAGGGATCTCTTTGTAGCTTGTTGCTGGGGGTATCAGAGACATCACTCTCTAGTGCTGGGGAGCAGAAGCCATTCAGCTGCCCACCCTCCTCATCTGATCGACTCTGTGCCCGAGTCAGCTCTTTCATGAACATTACACTGTCTGTGTCAAGATTCACAGTCTCCATCTCCGAGTCTGGAGTACTATAGTCAGAAAAAGGATTAAAAAAAAAAAAGTTTTACATAATTTCCTTTTTAAAAAGGCATTTGTGCAATAAAACAAACAACAACAAAAAAAAAAGCTTAGTGTTTCTGGGTTACCGTATTTTCCGGAAAATAAGTTGCACCTTAGTATAATTTTCACCTGGACAAAAGTGCATTGTCAAGGTAAATTAAATATTTACAAACACTATAAACATTATAATGGCACTCATAAACAACATTTAGGCTATTTGTTGAAATTAACATTAAATAAGATTAATAAATGCAGTTAACTAATGTTAATGGAACCTATTAAAGGGTTAGTTCACCCAAAACTGAAACTTCTGTCATTACTTACTCACCCTCATGTTGTTCTAAACCTGTAAGACCTCCGTTCATATTCGGAACACAAATTAAGATATTTTTGATTAATTTTGAGAGCTCTCTGACCCTCCCATAGACAGCAATGAATGTAATTACCACAATCAAGGTCCAGAAACGTAGCAAGGAGATCGGTAAAATAATCCATGTGACATCAGGGGTTCGTCTCCTGCCTCCCTGGTGCCATTTTGGAGAGTATCCACTAAACGTAAACAGCGTATGTTATTCTGTGTCAGCTGCGTCACGTGGATACGTTGTTTACGCGTGGCGCCGCTGACACAGAATAGCATACGTGGCGCAGCTGACACAGAATAGCATACGCTGTTTGCGTACAGTGGATACTCTCCAAAATGGCACCAGGGTGATGGAGGAGGAGGAGACGAATTGTTGAATAAAGTCATTATTTTTGTTTTCTTTGCATACAAAAAGTATTCTCGTAGCTTCGTAAAATTACGGTTGAACCCCTGATGTCACATGGATTATTTTACCGATCTCCTTGCTACGTTTCTGGACCTTGATCGTGGTAATTACATCGCTGTCTAGTCAGAGAGCTGTCAGAATGCATCAAAATATCTTAATTTGTGTGCCGAAGACGAACGGAGGTCTTACGGGTTTAGAACGACACGAGGATGATTAATTAATGACAGAATTTTCATTTTTGGGTGAACACCCTTTAAGTGTTAGTGTAACCCTTTAAGAGAACAATAACGAATCAGTCAATAGATAGGTAATGTTTTAGGTTAGATTAAAAAAAAATAAAATGTTTAACTTTGAAAATAAATAGCTCATTAAGTCTTTAAGAATTAATTATTTGGTGCTATGGTGAAGACTACAGCGAATATAAATATCTAAATGACTGTTTGAAACATTTACAGTTAGGAAAGTAGCGCAGCACTGTTTTGTTTATAGGGTTACCGGGGTAATGGCTGCATTTCTGCCTCTACTGCCGAATGTGCATTTTCATTCAGCGCGTCTCCTTCACTCGTTCCACCTTTCTTCTCATATGTGCTCATTGAAATTAAATTGTTGCCTTTTTAAGGCCCCGATATACTTCAAACGAAATCGAAGAACGAACTGATATGACGTCATTTCGAACAAAATCAGGCCAAAACGAAGTTCATTTTGAGTTAGTTTTGGCAGTTCGAAATAGCTCACCAAAGCGAACTTTTTGGGGGAGTTCGTTTTGCCTCCTAAACACCTTTGAGCTACCATTGGTCCGTGGCGATTACACAGTCGGTGGGTGTGTTCTGGAACTACGCCTTCTTTGACGTGCGATTTTTTCCCCCCCGGTTCGTTTCTCATTCCACAGAGGCCAGACAAGAGAACACATCTCCGCGGTCCGAGTGTCAAGGCCAGTCTCTCCGTAGTGGAAATCTGTGTCCTGTGCGTTTTTGAATGTTTCACATATGGCGATACCCTTTTCAAGAGATCGTCAAACCGCGCGGCCCATAGTGGAAATCGGTGTCCTGTGCGTTTTTGAATGTTTCACATATGGCGATACCCTTTTCAAGAGATCGTCAAACCGCGCGGCGCACATTCTGAAGAAAAATGCACTTCCTCATCTGTGCTCCGCATTTGCTGAATAAAAAGGGCAAACTGAAATAATTCTTTCTGTTTAGGCCTGTCGCAATAATCAATATATCGGACTTATCACGCAATATATGTACATGACCTCAATTTTTGGTGACGCAATATATCGCCCATTATATTTACATTAGTGTTCCTGTGGCTCAGTGGTAGAGCATTGCGTTAGCAGCGCAAAAGGTCATGGGTTCAATTCCCAGGGAACACACATACTGGTAAAAAAAAAAAATTATAGCCTGAATGCACTGTAAGTCGCTTTGGATAAAAGCGTCTGCTAAATGCATAAATTAATTATATTTACTTTAAAAATAATGTCACCATGTTTTGTACATTCCACATGCACCTGTGTCTTTTGCAGCTTCTCGTACATAACGTAGTCATGAGGTGCTAGTTCAAATTTAAAAAATGCTTCTACAAAAAAAGTTTCATCTGCAGATATGGCCATGTTTAGGGATCTGTGCCTTTGTGCATACGGACATCTGACTGCTAAATTGTGATTGTGTTTTTCAGCAATAGTGTGCACCCTTAATTTACAGAGAAAAGAAGGTCAGGAAAAAATCTGTAGATGGAAAAATCTCCATACACGTTCTTTGTGTATTTTTCTTTTTTTCTACTTGTTACTTTCCACTTTTTGTTAGAAAATGTTTATTTACTATTTATTCAAGTTTTTTAAGGTATCTAATATTTTTATACTTAATTTTCATGATCTAAATATTCTTAAAAATTAAAAGTTTGTTGTCATTTGTAAGTGTGTAGGCCTTCTTGCATTATTATGCTGTTATATTATGGTTATATATTCAGTGGCATAAAATGGTCTTTAAAATGTCAATAATATCACTTATCGCAATTATTTCTGGGACAATATATTGCACAACAAAAAGTTATCGTGACAGGCCTATTTCTGTTTTTGTTAAGTGGACGCACATACCATCTACGTCACATGTTCTTGTTATTTTCTTTGCCATTGAATATAGATCAATGCTACTGCCAGATGTTTACGAAACTTCTCTCACAGCCGCCATCGTTGTTGTGCTTAGGGGGTACATGTGGGCGGCGTGACACGTTTACAACCCCGCCTCCAGAAGCGTGGGGGTGTCGGAATGTTCGAAAACAGTATACCGTCGCTTAGACTTTTCGAACTTCTTTTTGCCCTCAAACGAAAAAGAACTTCGTTTGAAGTATATCGGGGCCTTTAAAGTTCAACAATCATATGAGGCTGTATTGCTGTTTTTCCATAAACAAATTGAAAAAATTAATAAGTTTGTTATAGGCTACTGTGTAAGTTAAGCTGTTTAAGAAATTGTATTTGCACTTATGCTCCTAAATACATTTTACATGTATCCTAAATACAATACATTTTCCAGTTCGCACACATCTATTTTTAGTCGCAAATGTGAGTGAAATGCTCGCACTGTCGAGCCCTGCTATCCAATTCAAATGTTTCTATATTCGTGATGCAGCCTAACATTTGGTTACTAAACTAAATTTAAAATCGGCTTTGTACTTCACTCGTGTTCAAAGATCCACGAACAAAAGCATCCTTCACATGTGCGCATGTCTGGAACACTACCACAGCAGTACAGTGGTCACAATGAATCGAGTTAATTAAGCCATTTAACAATTAAGCCATGTAACTTTTTCTATTTTTTGGTTGACTCCATTTTAGTTTTATGATAAATAGAAGGTATGCACGTGACGTCACCGTCAGCTGGTGTGACTGTGGATCCGCCCACTGAGTGGCAAAAAGACTGAGTGGCAGCATTGGTTTTCAGCATGAATGCTGCAACAGAACACATAAAACACCTCTAAATGAGAAAGATCTTTGCGATTGACTGTACAAATAGATTTGACAAGAAATCTGAGGTATATTTTTACAGACTGCCGAAAGCTACAGAAGAGAAGCAAATGAATTGCTGCAATTCAAAGAAACAAATGGACTGCAGGCAGCAAAACATGGATTTGCAGTTATCATGGAATGCTATGAATGTTGAATTTTGTAGTAAAATCATACCCTATATATTGTATTGACAACTCAATTAAATATTTATCATCTTATAAAATGAAAGTGACGTCAAAGCATACCCTCTGTAAGCTGTGATTTCAAGTTAGCAATGCTAGAACTAATATGTCACGTGTGCACATATTTGTGTAAGATATGCCCATGTTTTGTGTGCTTGACATTAAGTAAGTCAACTTTTGAATATTAAAGTTGCAGCACATTTCAGATTATTAAAAAAAACTGATACTTCCATTATATCACTTATTCTGGAAAATAGAATACAGTAAAATACAGTATTATGGCGCAGTTAAAGGTCTTAATGTCATTCAGCAGGTGAGCACAAATCTCACCTGAGAATAGTTTTGAGATAAGAGCAGGTGACGGCTTCAGGAATGTCAGAAAATATTTGGAAAGCAATCTGACAGAGATGGAAATCTTTCTTCACCATGGCCAATGAGAGCAGTTCAGGGCACACACTACATTTCCAGAAAAAAATTAAAATAAAGAAGAATGAGCATAGTTACACACAAAACACTAGGAGATAAGAGAGAGGGGCTGAGCAGGTGAGTTCAAACCTGTAGCAGAGGTACCGAGTCTCCAGCAGCTGTAGAAATACACACTGAGGGTAGAAGTTGGCATGTGTCTGGGATCTTGACACTAGCTCTAATGCCAGCCTGCCTACTGCCAGCTGGAGGTCAGCCTGGGGAGTCCAACGAATAAACTCACCCACCTCTGCTTGTACATCCTCTACCGCACTAGTCTAGCAAAAAGCACACATGGCATTATCACAAACTAAAGAACACAATCCATGTGCAAAGGTTCTTTAATACACATATATGCAAACTTAGCAAAAAATAAAGACAAAAATAAAATGCAGTAACTTGAAAAAGGGACGTTTATTTAAAGGTCATTTAGTAAAATTTAAAAACGCTGTACATTGGAAATGATTTACACAAAGTATTCTAGAAATAAAAACACCAGAAGAAAGATGTCCTGGGTAGGGCTGCAGGATTAATCGAATGCGACTGTCGCAAGTCGGTTCTGTGATTAGTAGTAAATCTCCATCACCTGCTTTCAGATGGAGCAGCATTTACTACACAGAGCCGTAGTTCTCTGACAAGCTACGAAAAAAAATAAAAATTGCAGACGATGAAATCGTTCGCGATAATGACAGCTGTTTGCGTAGCTTCTCAGTGAACTACGGCTCTGTGTAGTAAATGCTGCTCCATCTGAAAGCACGTGAAAATACCACATTTAATGACGTATTTTTACTCCAAACTCACTTCATAATGTCAGCCGACTGTTTGAAATGAATCCTTCTGTGAGATGTGGCTTCTTACACAGAATAAGGCACACAACATTTCATAATATTCTAAGCAGTGATAAAGGCTATGTCGATTAGCATTAGAGCTGTCTATTGCCACCAGCGGTAGTGCACGTGACGTCACACAATCTATAACAAGCATAATACAAAGCTTTGTGTACAAGTGTAATAACAGTAACAGTTGTTGTTTTATTTAGACAATACACATGTGGTCAGAATTGTTGGTACCCTTGGTAAATATGATCAAAGGCGGCTATGAAAATAAATCTGCATTGTTAATCCTTTTGATCTTTTATTTGAAAAATTCACAAAAATCTAACCTTTCATTGGAGAGTAAGAATTGAAAATGGGGGGAAATATCATTATGAAATAAATGTTTTTCTCTAATACACATTGGACACAATTAACGGTACCCTTTTATTCAATACTTTTTGAAACCTCCATTTGCCAAAATAGTGTAGGAGTTTTCTCCTATAATGCACAATCAGCTTGTAACACTCCAAAGAGAAAGGAAAACTTGAAATCGCATCATATGACCCCTTTAAGACTTTAAGACCCGCGGAAACCCTGCTTGAAGAGTTTTTGGCCACTCAAACACTCCTCACCATGCATTAGGACGATATAGACACATGTCCTCTTCC